GAAATATGAAGTTTTTACATTTTAGAAAATTTTCAACGTCTTTTTTATTCAATAGAAACTGTCACTAGCTTGTATTTTTAATTTTTATGGATTAAATTTTGTACTATACCTATTTTTACCTCTATTTTTTTGCAATTAAATATATATTTAAAACAGTATTTAATAACCAAATTGGTCGTATTATCTATTTAAATATATTTTTATATTTCAGGTTAAAAATTATACAAATTTATTTTTAGCTTTACCTATTTTTAATCAAAATAATGATATTGAAACATATTAATAAAAATTAGTATTTAATATATTATATTAAATGATATACGACTAACCCATTTTTTTTGGTTTTTTACAATAGTTTAGGTCATTAGAATCATCATAAATTTATTACGGCTTCATTCAACAAACGAGTTGTGGTCAGATAAGACGTATAATGAAAGTGATGTCCCGTAGTTTTTTATAGGTCTCGTGGGTTATGAACATCATTATATAGGTGACTATATCAGATAATAATTCTCAAATGTATTTCAAGTTATTCAACTTTTTTTGTTACTATTGATGTGACTAGTTACTATTTGTATGTCATATATGGACAATTTGGAACAAATGTTAAGTAAAATAAAAAAATAAATGATTTTTGTTACAGTCATGAATCTTAACTATATACTTTTTCGTTATAAAATGTTTATGAATTTTATATTATGTGCGTAAATTGAGGTTATTTGAGGTTATACGAGTCTTTTGTAAAATTAAATTTGATGTCTAATGATATGATTTATAAAATATGATACATGTAAATTAAATGTTCTAAATAAATAGAACATGAGCATTGAGCAATAATATAATTTGAAATTATTGTAATACTTAAACTCTGGATGATCAACGAATAAATAAATGTTTGTAGAAATACTAAAATACTCGCATATTAGTTAAGTATGTATTACTATGATTCACGTTGTAAGAAACCACATTGATATTAAATGAATTAATTTACTAAGTTCGATCTCATGTTTTGACTAATTTTAATCATTTTTAACAAAAATTTCACAAATTTATATAAAAGAATATTATATTGTATAATGACCTGTTTCAGAAACCGTGATATTTGTTAATGAACGTCAATAAAATATTATAAAATTATGTTTATTTAAATTAAAAATAATAAATCACAGGACAAGTTATAAAGAATATGGAGTTGTAATAATAAATAATCCAAAATTACTTTATTGAATGTTTTCAGTAACATAATTATTGTTCAAGATACAACCGATGTTTTTACAATTTTTGGGATAATTAGTATATAAAGCTTGTGGATATTTTATTAGGTAACCACAAGGCCGTATATGAGGTGGGGTACAGGTTCACCCCCCCCCACCCGAAATATTTTATAGTTAATAAATTTAATTTATGTAAGTAACTTAATTATAATAATTTACCATGTGGCCATGTGGGTACCAAATAATATGATGACTATGTTTGATTATCGATTATATTGTTAACATTTTTTGTTTTGTTTAAAATAAATGTTAGTTGTTTTTTGAAAATATAATTGAATTTAACCCCCCTCCCCCCACTAAAAAATTTGTTCCATCTACGGCCTTGGGTTACCAGATATATTTCACATAACTATTGGAGAAATTGAGCTTATATACTTAATTGGCTATTTAACAATCACAAATTGGAGAAATTTAAGTAGAATACTGATTATTTTAAATTAAACTTTAAATCGATTAAAGTGAGATTGTTATAATGTAGAGCAGTAAGCACATTGAAAATATAGATTTGGAAAAAAATATTATATTTATAAATCTGGGCAAATTAATTATTTATTTTTAAATGGTTTAAATAATGTTGACTTATAAAAGTTAATTTAAATTAAAAATGTAGTTTTTTTTTTAAATTACTCGTCCTTATGTTTTGTAGGTACCAATAACTAAAAAATGAGTTTTGGTATAGATTAATAATGAGCACAGCCCGTCTTTTTTTAATAAATATAATAAATAAAAATAAAATAAATATACGTTTGATAAATCACAAAAACGATTCATTAAAGTTTAAACGATCAATTTTTTCGACATTGTACCTAGATCATCTATTTTGCAAAGTTGAAAAACAGTTGATGTTTAATTTGAAAAATTAATTTCGTCATTTTTAAGTATATTAACATAATTTTTTTAATTGATAGACGTAATATATTGAAAAACTTTGTTTACTCTAAAAAGTAAAATAATAAATATATAGTCTAATAAAAATAATTGAATTTTATAAACTTTTTTGATTCTATATATAGGTATAAACATCTAAAATCGTACATATCAAGAAGTTTTATGTTTCATAAAAATAAATCAAAATTGCGTTTGAACACTAACTAATACAACAAAACATAGGTAAATACTAACTTAATAAATCATAAAGTAAATATTTTATTTACATTTATACTCTCATATGAAAAGTTCTACATTCTATTTCTATATAAATAATAAAGTCCATATTAATATGAACTTTTCAGTATACGTATGATATAGATAACTAGTTATAGGTATCTACAGAATATCTTAATTGTAAGTTATGTATAATGGTAGGACTTATAGAAGAATACCTGGCAATCTGAGCACGAATTCACGTATTTATACATATAACAAGACATTTAAAAGTTAAAATGCAAACTACCTTTAAATTAAATTTGATTCTTAATACATTATAATATCATATATAATAACATTGTCATATTTTTTTAAATTATTGCAATGAATGTTGTCTTAAAGGTTATAAAACTTTAAGGCTTTGAAACAGAAATAAAATTATTACAAAACACTAATTGTTTCTATAATGAAATTATTAATCGATTTGAGCTCGATTAGAAAAACGAACAGTTATGATAAATTATGCATAAAAATGTACCTACCTATAATCAAACAAATGTGTATTACATAATACACGAGTATATTTTAAATATGTATACACTTTAGTCTGACAGGTATAATCAAGACGAGCATTTAACGATTTATTATTTATAATTCTAAACATTTTAAGTAGATTTATAAATAAAATAATTGTTTTAAAATAAAAAAAAATGTAACAATAATTACAGCCCATTAACAAGTAGATTACAAAAATTAACATGAAAGTTCATTCAAATATTAAATACGACAACAACTGTAGTTTACTCTTAACGACATACATTTTATAGTTTGACTTTAAGTTGTAAGTACTTCTTTGCATAATAAATGTTGAATGTTATGCTGTAAATTGTGTATAATTAACAGCAGTTATTAATTAAACTCATTTACACTTTATATATAATATTATACTTGTCTTATAAAATACAATAATTTATCAAATCATATTTATTAAGAAAAAATATTCTACATGCGACAGGTATTTCAAATTAAATCTATATGACCGCATAAATATTGTTTTAAAAATCAAATCCATAATAACGCGAATCTTTGAATATTTTGTAATAATTCACAAATCGATTACCAGCTGCCGGCTACCACCTAGGTGCATAACCGAAATGGTACATCATTATAATTTCTTCGCTCTATAAATAAAATAACACACAATATTTATGCGAATATGGCCAAAGTGGAATAGCGCATTTATACTGTCATCATTTTTCGCGTTAATTCAAAATCATATAAAAATAGATAAAAATAATTAACTTGATACTTCACCGAGTTGTTATAAGATAGTTATTAAATGCAGCTATTAATAATAAATTTATAACTAAGACAATATTATTAAATTTAGTGAATAACAAAAAAATTCAGAACACGGATCACATGATCATTTTGATAATAATGGAATAGTAAGTAAACCGTATACTGTATAGATAATTTAATATCTTTAAAAAACGCGTCGATTATTATATTAACAATAATCACATGTGATCCGTGAGATATGGATGTATGGTACACGAGTATGTATATAATAATATATCATAACATTATGTCACAGATATTTGGATTTCAATATTTCCAACTCCTGTGGACAAAATGGAGTTGACATAATTGATAAGTCTTTAAGTTTTGATACTGAAGCATCCTAACCTAAATACTACTTCTTTCGTCTACTAAATATTATAATAGTTCATTTATACGGAAATCGTGTAGCAAGTCTACGAGTTCGAACAGTTAATATCTAGAACTTACCACATACGATATTTTATACTTATTTTAATTTATAAATTTTTGCAATTACTACAGAATATTATATGTACTATTTTACAATCTTCTTTTTATTCCTAGATTAGCCTTTATCCATAAAAGTTTTCAATTTTATAAAGTACATAATATTATTATAGTTGTTTTCATCCGAGTTCACATTTATACAATATATTTCGCTTGTTTTTTCTCGTATGCATAATTTAATGCGAGTACGCAAGAACAACATTTTACGTATACAAACCGTCACAAACTCGCAAGCTTAGCAAAAATTACACATTATTTAAAATCACATGAAATCAAAATTGATTTAAAAAAATCGTAAATGTGTGACCTGACTCAAGATAGTGTGCATGTTGATTATTTGTTGCGCACCAAATTCGCAAAAAAATATTCAATATTAATATTATGGGTATGTACCGTGCAAGATATTTGTGTTCAACGTGTTATGATAACAAATTAAAAATAATGAATAAGTAGGTATTTAACCTGTAGACGATGAACGATTGCAAAAGTTCACAAAAATTATACTAAACATTTAAGAAAAACTCGAGCAAAAGTCACTATAGATAATGCTTTTCTATAGACAGTTCTAGGAGGTGTGTTAAAACGAGAATGCAAATGATTCATATGATCTGAGACCCAATTGATATACGCCGTATATTATTGGCATTTTATTCATCGGATGTAGCTACGGTTTTCCTTATTCAGAACACAACGGAGAAGAGAACATAAAATAATCTAGGAAATGTGAGGGAATTGGCGTGTGTTTAGCCGGCAGATGTCATAACATTATATTATTTAATATTACACGTATCGGTCGTATCGTATACTCACGGTTTGATGTTTAAAGTGGTCCGTTTCGCGGGCGCACTGTTGGCCAGAAAAACGAGAGAGATGACGGTGGGCGAAGAGGTGGTGGATGGCGACGACCGGACGACGACTACTACGACGACGACGCGTGGCGACTACACATTGCACAAGAACGGTACCAGAGTAACTGGACGGCTGCAGTACGACGTACGCGACTGCTGCTGTTGCACTGTCTGCCGTCTGGTCGCCGGCCGAGGACGATGTCTCTCTCCTCCACGGCAACACCGACGCTGCCGCCACCGCACCACCGTCACCGCCACCACCACCACTGTACCTTCTCCCGCACGACGACTACCTTCTACGTACGACGGACGACTCTACACATTATATTATTATTATTATTATTATTATACTCTCTCGATCTCGAACCGAAATAATAATAAAATCGGCATCGGGGCTACACAGCTGCTGGTCATGACGCCGTCGTTGTCGCTCTGCCAACCAGCCTGTTGTTGTAAATTGTAATATTATTATTAATAATAGAATACGATGGATTGTGAGAACTGATTATTCAAATATTCGAGAGTTGTATAGGTACACCTATTTACTAGGGGCGATATAGGTACTGGTGGTGACTGGTGGCGCATTGTTTTCGTCTCGTGACCGTGTATAAAACACGGTAAGGTTAAGAGTTTACAAAAATTGTGTTTGAAATGATCCGAAATTTTAATTATCAATTAATATTTTAATGCCCATAGTTTAATATTTGTAGGTATATAATATGATAACGTATGACACTTGAATGACCATACTTTGAGGTAAAACTATCAGGAACTGACGGTCATTAATGTAAGAAAAATCGATATTTTGGTACACTGTTCATTAAATATAAATTTGATACAACTATAGTCCCCAGTATTAATCACTGTAATCGTATCGGTAAGGTGGGGGACATGATTTTTTTAAAATTTTACCTAAGACCGTAGCAACGCCGCGCCAAAAATGTGTAAACACATTTTATTATAAAGTATTATAAACCCGCGTAGGCAGTTATATTTTTTCAGGTGTGTGCTATAAGCAATATTAAAAGTATTTGTTGTATTATTGTGTTATTGTTGTTACAGTTCGTCGTCACCCACTCACCCGCACGGTCACACGCAGTTGACGACGACGACGACTACTGGTAATTCCGCGTGCAGTCCAGTCCGCATTGTCCACGCGAAACGAGTTTGTAAAGCAATTGGCTGCTGGCATAGGTTTCTTCTTGCTTTTTGCTTTTATTTTTTCGTTCTTTCTTCCAATTACCGCCTAACCAATGTTTGCTGCCCAAGACGTGACGAGTATACAACATTCGATCGGGACCATTATGTTATTATTTATTATTATTACTATTATATTACGCGATGCGACAGTGCGTACCATTGCTACAGACATCCGCCCCACCTGCTGAGTGCAGACCGATGGTGACCGTGTGATGGTGTGATGAGCGGCGAAGAGAAGGGAATATAAATAATAATAATTGTGTACGACTTATAAATACACACACGCACACACGTCACACAATAAGTATATGATATAACCAAAGGTTTCCGGTTGAGGTCTAACATGTTGAATTCGCTGAAGATATTGAGACGGTTTAAGGCACACAAATCACGGACGGGCTAGTATGTGCGGCCGAGTGCCATATAATTCATTTTATACCATGGTCACAATTTATGTAGTCAGTCACGTAATCGGGGAGGTTTTGGGAGGTTAAGCCAGCAAACGATATAGGCATTTTTTTTTTTTTTAAATTGGTAACATTTTATTAATAATATTACATTCACTACACGTAATATTGACGGCCCAGTACTGTTGAATCCAGGCAAAAATAAACTTGTCAGGATAAAATCAAAGACTACAACATACTTATCTTAATATTAAATGGATATATATATATATATATATATTATATATTTATTGTCAAAAAATACATATTAATTAGGTAGGTATATGTAATTATTATTATTTGTGTATGTAAATAAAATTAATCAAAACTAAATTATTTTTCATAAGAGTACTTAAGAAGATGCAATTGAATAATTGTACAAAAAATTATAAAATTATATTGTACCTTTATAATAAATACAAATTAATGATATAATTCAAAGTATCTATCACATACCTATCTATATATTATAAAAAAGTAATTACCATTTACCTACACATAATTTATTGCATTAAATAAAAAATTATGCCTTTTCATAATTTATAATAATTGTTATGTTATTCTACACCTACTTAATTTTCATAAATTAAGCTCTCCTTCATTGAAAAATCCTGAGTTATCCTGGATACATCATAGATTCATAGATAACTTAATTACTTATAATAGTAATTTATTTTTTTCTATGGGTCACACTGGCGTAATAGGTTGAAGTAATGTTTACCAAAAACATCGCACTTATTATAATATTAGGTTTATAATTGTATCTTATAATATTATATTATTTTGATTAAATTATAACTGTAGTGAAGCCCATCTCTGTATCATTTTATATGTAGCAGCCGTTATACCATTTAAGATATTGTACAATTAAATATATATATAAATAAATCTGAAGGAAAATGTGAACCGTTATTCGTTGACTGCAATAACAATTATATAGACGAATGGGTTGTCCCAAAAAATCCTACTAGTATACTATTTAATTTAGACTCGTGCACCACGGATATTTTAAGTTAATAAACGACATAACGTCATACCGTCTTGGCGACGTATGCTATAAAACCGCGTGACTTTAGGTTTGTGATTTAAATTTTCGGAGTTTTCAGAACGAACTAGTCTTTGACAATTTTTTTAATTAACTGAGTGCGTCTGGAATAAAATATCACTTGTGCGTTACAAGAAAAAAAGGAATTAATTTTAAATTTGTTATCAATTATTAGTTGATTAGCTATCATAGTTATAACCACGGTCTATGGTATATTTCATGAATTAAGATATATCTTAATTCATGCCATATAGTATTATATTTACAGATATATAATATAATTGTATTTATATATATATATATTTGTGATACTATCTAGTATCTACACTTCTATAATATCTATACCTCCGTGTCCCGTGGTCATAACTCACTGCAGCATTTCAAACTTGTCAACTTAATATTATACAAAATTATTTTATTAGATATAAATTTAAAAAAAAACAATTTTTACAGTATAACAAATTATTTATAACCCTTAAACCTTCCAATAGTTATACCATTATTTATGTCATATATACTGAATATATTGTATATTATAATTCATATAGATACCAATTATTGTAATACCATAAAAAACACGGGTGCGGTGTAAAATCTTTTAATTTTTAGAAAATTTGTTGATTATTTATCATTTTAGATATTTAAACTTAAATTTTTAACACCTTATATCTTCGTTGTGTCTATTAACTACCACTTACCAGTAAATATAATATACATATACCATCATAAATATAAATATTTTAGTATATACTAATAAATAATTCTATAACGTGAATCATTAAAAGTAAATTCATATCAGCCAGAATTAAAAATATAAAAATATGAGTATTTTATGTAGATTCTTAACTAGCCAATATTAAAAAATGGGTTCCAAATATAAGGGTTTTTAAATTAAATTATAGTTTATTGGTTCGTTATTTGTTAATAAGTTTAGAAACTGGAAATTTAGCACGGTTGTGGATTGAGCTTTTCAAAATTATTTTAATGCATTAATTAATACTTTGAGTTTTTTTTCTTTAAATCACTTAAAAATAAAAAAATATAATGCAATTGTTATAAGTTATAACTAGAAACCGGATTTAATTGTATTGAAAACACATAACAATTGTATATCAAACTTGTATAATTGCACCAAAAAAATATACGTACAAATCACATAATAAATTGCAGTAAAAAATAATATATAAATAATAAAAAAATTAGATAAATATCACTTTTTGAATGAAAATTGATAATTAAATACATTTCTAAATTATGTTCATTTAAACTAAATCTTTTATTACTCAAAATATTTTGCTTTATTTGACATGACTTCATAGTAAGATTTAATAGTTTTATATCTATAGTTTTTTCATTTGAATCTGGAATATTTGTTAAAATATCTTCAATTTTTTTAAAGATAGTCATACTTTTAAGAATTTCACTATTCGATTCTTTCAAGTTTATAAGATTAATGAATAACTAGGATAAGTGTAATTTTATGAATGCTAAATCATATTTGACTGCATTATTTTGTACAAGCTATTTTAACTTTTCTACCTAATAGAATCATTCTTTAAACTTTTAATCTTATTTTTAAATTTTTCAAAATTATTTGCATAGAAAAGTACAGCATTTAACCATGTTTCTTACTTTGTAATAATAAGTTCAGAAGGTAAGTTATATTCGGCATTTATTTTCTGTATTTATTTATTCTCGATGGTGCTATTATGAGAGTTTTTTTTTTTTAAATATGTAGATATTTATATTTTAAATACCTTAAATTTATTACCATGTTAATTAATCTATTTGTGTCAAGATGCAGTTCTCAAATCTTCTCTAGAATTAAATTAATTGTGTGTGGTATACATGTAGTATGAATAACTTTTGTGAAAAATATTTTAAATATTTTTGTTGTTCTGATTATTTAAACGTACTAGCACCGGGAGCATCACAGCAAAATGTTATACTTTTTGTTCAATACTAGAAAATATTTTTAACGAGGAATTATTAAACTGACACATAGTTTTATAGGCAATTAGTAGATTTTAGTTGTTTACACGAAACTAAATATGATCTACTAAGGGACCCACCCATCTACACGGTAATTGGAAAAAAACAAAATACGAATCCACTACAGTTCTCTGTACACATGCACACATATGCCATATACACTTTATATATTATTATTATTATTATAAGGGCCGATACCTACCTACTATTCTATTACAGTCTACAGGGATTGTATTATTATAATAATGGTATTGTAATCCGAAACGGTTATGTCAAACACGTCGTGTAGATGTGTGCAAGATTTTTTGCGTAATGTGAATAATTTTAATAGGGATTACTTTTCTTGATTTACTGTAAGTATGTACAAAGTGATTCATTGAGCAGAACAATTCACAACCTTTTTTTAGTTTTGAAAAATTTGTTGATGTTTCTATTGATAATAATTATTATAATATTTGTAAATAAATCAATTAATTT